CTTGAAAAAATATTTTTTAAAAAATCCACGTCTCGTATTGTTCTTGAAAAAAATATTCCTTAAAAAATACACGCCTCGTATTGTCCTTGGAAAAATATTTTTAAAAGTATTCACGCCTCGTATTGGCCTTGAAAAAATATTTTTTAAAAACATTCACGCCTCGTATTGTCCGTGAGAAAATCTTCCTTAAAAAATACACCCCTCGCATGGTCCTTGAGAAAATCTTCCTTAAATAATACACGCCTCGTATTGTCCTTAAAAAAATATTCTTTAAAAAATCCACGCCTCGTACGGTCGTTGAAAAAATATTCCTTAACAAATCCACGTCTCGAACGGTCCTTGAAAAAATATTTTTTTTACAAAAATCCCCGCCTCGTGCGGTCCTTGAAAAAATATTTTTTTCCAAAACCCCCGCCCTCGTGCGGTCCTTGAAAAAACATTTTTTTCCAAAACCCCCGCCCTCGTGCGGTCCTTGAAAAAACATTTTTTTACAAAAATCCCCGCCTCGTGTGATCCTTGAAAAAACATTTTTTTACAAAAATCCCCGCCTCGTGTGATCCTTGAAAAATATTTTTTAAAAAAGCCACACCTCTTGTTGATGCTTGAAAAAATATTCTTTAAAAAGTCCACGCCTATTTTGATTCTTGAAAAAATATTTTTTAAAAAAGCCACACCTCTTGTTGATGCTTGAAAAAATATTCTTTAAAAAGTCCACGCCTATTTTGATTCTTGAAAAAATATTTTTTAAAAAGTCCACGCCTATTTTGATTCTTGAAAAAATATTTTTTAAAAGGTCCACGCCTATTTTGATTCTTGAAAAAATATTTTTTAAAAAGTCCACGCCTATTTTGATTCTTGAAAAAATATTTTTTAAAAAGTCCACGCCTATTTTGATTCTTGAAAATATATTTTTTAAAAAATCCACGCTTCTGTTGATGCTCAAAAACATTTACTTTTTTAAAATCCACGCATCTGTTGAAGCTTGAAAATATATTTTTAAAGAAATCCAAGCCTCTGTTGATGCTTGAAAATATATTTTTTAAAAAATACACGCCTCTTTTGATGCTTAAAAAAATATTCTTTAAAAAATCCACGTCCCTGATAGTCCTTAAAAAAATATTCTGTAAAAAATCCAAGTCCCTGATAGTCCTTGAAAAAATATTCTTTAAAAAATCCACGTCCCTGATAGTCCTTGAAAAAATATTCTTTAAAAAATCCAAGTCCCTGATAGTCCTTGAAAAAATATTCTTTAAAAAATCCACGTCCCTGATAGTCCTTGAAAAAATATTCTTTAAAAAATCCACGTCCCTGATAGTCCTTGAAAAAATATTCTTTAAAAAATCCAAGTCCCTGATAGTCCTTGAAAAAATATTCTTTAAAAAATCCACGTCCCTGATAGTCCTTGAAAAAATATTCTTTAAAAAATCCACGTCCCTGATAGTCCTTGAAAAAATATTCTTTAAAAAACCCACGTCTCTGATAGTCCTTGAAAAAATATTCTTGAAAAAATACACGCCTCTGTTGATGCATGAAAAAATATTTTTTAAAAAAACCCACGCCTCTGTTGATGCATGAAAAAATATTTTTTAAAAAAAACCCACGCCTCTGTTGATGCATGAAAAAATATTTTTTAAAAAAACCCACGCCTCTGCTGATGCATGAAAAAATATTTTTTAAAAAAACCCACGCCTCTGTTGATGCATGAAAAAATATTCTTAAAAAAATCCACGCCTCTGTTGATGCTTGAAAAAATATTCTTAAAAAAATCCACGCCTCTGTTGATGCTTGAAAAAATATTCTTAAAAAAATTCACGCCTCTGTTGATGCTTGAAAAAATATTCTTTAAAAAATCCACGCCTCTGTTGATGCTTGAAAAAAGATTTTTTAAAAAGTCCACGCCTTGGATTGTCCTTGAAAAAATATTTTTTAAAAAGTCCACGCCTTGGATTGTCCTTGAAAAAATATTTTTTAAATAATCCACGCCTTGGATTGTCCTTGAAAAAATATTTTTTAAATAATCCACGCCTTGGATTGTCCTTGAAAAAATATTTTTTAAAAAATCCACGCCTTGGTTTAAGCTTGAAAAAATATTTTTTAAACATTTTAAGCCTCTGTTGATGATTGAAAAACTATTTTTTAAAAATCCACGTTTTGGTTGATGCTTGAAAAAATATTTTTTAAAAAATCCACGCCTTGGTTTTATTGGAAATACTACTTTCCACAATATTATAAACCTGATACAAAACATACTTTGTATTTATATTATTGTTATTATCATAGTTGTTTGGAGTTTTTTTGTATTGTTATTGAAAAATATATTTTTCGGTTTAGTTTGTGTGCTGAATAAAACTTTGATTCGTTTGGAAACTTTTTCTTGTTTCTAATTAATTTTCTAACATTGGTTATGGGCCCAGGAATTTTGAAGGCTTAAATAATAATTAATCTGAGGAATTGTCAAAAGGAAAATCTAAGATGACGTCGCCGTTTTTGCAGATTGAAAAACTAGATGAAAAAAATTATGATTCCTGGCATCTGCACATGAAGAGTGTGTTGATCCACAATGGATTTTGGAAGTATGCTAATGGTCAATTGAAATGTAACCCTGGCTGGAATGCAGAACAGAAAGCAGATTGGGTAACAAATGATGAAAAGGCGCTAGCAACTATTGTTTTGAGCATCAAGGTTACTCAGATGAATTACATTAAAAAATGTACAACATCGGCAGAGGATTGGAGCAAATTAGCAGAAGTGCACAAGCCCAAAGGACCTATTCAAAAGGTCATGCTTTACAAACGTCTGATGAATTTAAAAATGGAAGACAACGATGATATGATCCAGTATTTAAATAAATTCCAAGATATAATTGAAAGACTTGCTGATTTAGGTATTGAACTTCAAGATGAATTAATTGTGATCGTACTTTTGTCAAGTTTACCGAAATTATATGAGCCCTTCATAATTGCTATGGAAACTCGAGATGATTTACCATCATTTCACGTGTTGAAATTGAAGTTGCTTGAAGAAAGTGACCGCCGAAGAAATATACAGCAAGACACCGAAGTGAGTGGACAACAAGCATACGCAGCACGTTCTAATAAAAAAACAAATAGCTGGAACAGTAAGGAAACAAACGAAAAGAGAACAATTAGTGGAAAATGCTACAATTGTGGTCGTAAGGGTCATTATGCGAAAGACTGCCGAGATAAGAAAACTACTGATCAAAGGACATGTGCTTTAATTGCAGCGGCAAAGGGGTTTAAACAAGACGTATGGTATATTGACAGTGGGGCAACATCTCACATGTCTAACAACAGAACATTATTTGAAACATTTGAGCAGTGTAATGAAAAAATTTTTCTCGCCGCCGATAAATTTATAACTGCTACTGGTAAAGGCACGGTGAAACTTGAAGGAAATTGTGAAATTCAACTAAAAAATGTCTTATATGCTCCGGAACTACAAGGTAATTTTATTTCTATAAGCAAAGCGGTTGAAAATGGATACACTGCCACATTCAATTCTGATGGAGTGAAAATAAAGGATAGCCATGGTTATATTGTTATGAATGCATACAAAAAAGACAATTTATTTGTTATGCGTCAAGGATCTAACGAGTGTATTTATGCAGTAAACAACAACGATATGTTGTGGCACTATCGATATGGCCATCTAAATTTTAATGATTTGGGAGATATGTTCAAAAAAGGTCTTGTTAATGGCATAAATATTTCTAAACAAGCAAAAGAGAATAGTTGCAGGACATATTTGGTAAGTAAGATTCATGTCTTGCCATTTCCGAAATCAACTGTAAAACGTTCCGAACATGTATTGGAGCTAATTCATTCAGACGTCTGTGGCCCGATGAATATATCTTCAGTAGGTGGGTCGAAATACTTTGTCACCTTTATCGACGATAAAACAAGGAATATTTTTGTTTATTTTATGAAGACAAAAGATGAAGTATTTGAAAAATTTAAAATATTTCAACAGCAAGTTGAACGTCAAACAGGAGAAAAAATAAAAATTCTACGAAGTGACAACGGACGAGAGTATCTTAATAAACCTTTCGATTCATATTTGCAGGATCAGGGCATTCTGCGTCAGTTAACGGTAGCTTATACACCGCAACAAAACGGTGTTGCTGAACGTGCAAATCGCACGTTAGTGGAGATGTCCCGATCAATGTTAGTCCATGCGAAACTGAACCAAAATCTGTGGGCAGAAGCTGTTGCTACAGCTGCGTATCTGCGGAATCGTGCTCCTACTAAAACCTTGTCAAACAAAACTCCATATGAAGCTTGGTATGGCAGGAAGCCAAAAGTTAGTCATTTAAAGGTTTTTGGTTCGTGTGCAGTCGCTTTAAATAAGAGGCCAAAGCAAAAGTTTGACGCAAAAGCAAAGCAATACGTTATGGTTGGTTATTCTCAAGTAGCGAAAGCATACAGACTGTATGATAAAGAAACCCACAGCATTATTGAGAGACGTGATGTAAGATTTGAAGAAAATATATTCGAGAATTTTGCTCAAAGTACCAGCAGCGGGGAGAAGAACAACGATTTTTTCATTTTTGTCAATGGTGAAAATCAAAGTAATTCCCAAGTTTCGAATGTTCCCGTTGATGAAGATGTAGTAGAAGATGGGTTTAATACTGCTGAAGAAGGAGAAGATATCACATGTGATGAAGAAGAATCTGACGAAAACACACAAACTAACGAGAACCAAATAGAAACAACTCAATTGCAGGAGGAGCTCGTTGTTTCTGACATTCAGCCACAGGAGGAAAATTTGGAAAATATTTTTCAAGGGGAATCAAAAAGAGCAGGAGGTCGTCCCAAAATAATTCGTGATGGTAAGCCTGGCAGACCTAAGAAACAATATAATGTGATAAATGGTTTGTCAACACAAGTAAACTTGGTTCCTCAAACTCTATGTTGACGGGACAACTTTGCTACAGTCGGTCACCACGGAGTCAGTTTCCCTGATCGACTGGTTCCACTTACACTTTGGCAGGACGCGCTTTGATGGTGCAGCACGGTGACGATGTCTTCCCCTTTGGGCAAGGTTCTGTTTCAGCACACACTGTTGATGAAGGCAGTGAACGTTCCACTGTTCGGGCAAGGGCAAATGGCACGCAATATTTGTAATATGATTATTTCTCAATACGGTCTGCTACCACTGTGTCGATCGTTGCTTTACAATAAAACGCACAATAATTTTTACTTCACTTTTATTGTTTTGCACAATTCTGGGCACAATTTTATTTTAACGACCTTCTTGGTCAAAGGCAAAAAAACGACAACGATAAAAAACTTCGAAAACTAATAGAAGATGATGATTCTTCTTCTTCTCATCGAACCCTTGTTCTTACTCCGAGAGCAAGAGAGCAGGAAAATATTGATCAAAGCAGAACCAGTGATATGGCATTGCCAGTATAGAAAAAAGGGAGAGACGACGTACATGGGAATTGCCTTCGAGGGCGAACATTAGTGCTGCGCTTGTAGCGCTTTTCCCATGAACATCTTCCCCCCCTTGGGACAAGGTCCCAACTAAAGTATACTATGAAATTAATTTTGACATTATATAAAACGTTAGAAAATTAGAAAAAACTAAACAAATTAAAAATTAATAAAAATAAGGAACCAGCTCCACGGTCTTCAGTCTTCATGGTATCGTAACAAATACTGATAACTTTCATCGGGTAAGTAGGAATTGTTGGGAAACAGTTACTTCTTCCGGGCAACGTCGCCGAAAAAGGTCCAGCCAAAGATGGTGTTTTGAGCGTACGGCATGCCTGGTTCAATGATGGGTAGGCCCAAGAAAATTCCATTAGATGCTGATTTTCCCAAGACCACATTATACTTTCCCGGTGTTTCAAAATGGGGATCCGCTATCGCCTTCTTTGGGTAAACTTTTTTTACGCACTGCAAATCGACGGCGTGACGTGGCGATAACAACTCGGACTCAAGCTCGACGTTAAGTTTGGCGGTGTACGTCCGAACATTGTTGTTTGTCGATGTCAGCACAACAGTGGCAGGGCTCGGGTACATCACAAAATTGCTGGGAGAGCCCAGTGCGAGTGAGCTTTCATCGTAAAGAGGGTCGATAAGGACACGAACTTTCCTTGGTGTCTCATCCAGTCCCGGGAGATGCATCATGACTTCGGCGGTCATACGTAACCAAACCTCCCGGTTAACATCAAGAGGGTGCAACCAGGTGTGATGGGCCAAATTGCATACCCGACAGCCTTCGTTCCAAGGGCAAGTAATAACGCGATGACCCAGGCCAAGACAATTTACGCAGCCTTGATACTTGCGCACAATGGCGTCCTTCGCTGAAGGCGTCGCCTGAAGAAAGCTGCGACAGTGTCGGAAAGAGTGCCGAGTGTGACAAAGTGGGCACTTAAAGGCATCATTGTAACTCATCTGTAAGAAAGTGTAAGGCATGGTTAGGCGACAATAAAATGGGTAAACGTATTTTCATAGAGTAAGACATCATTAAGTGTGACAACGTAAGCTGGTCTATAGAGCATAGTTCATTCGGGACGAGGAAGGAGTACTAATTTGTGTACAGGACGCGTTATCACGCCGTTCAGGGTTTTCAAGTCCACTACTCGAACCCTATTGTCCTGTCCAAAGTGTAATTTTACCACGCGACCCATGCGCCACTCATTTGGAGCAAGTGAGTCAGAATGTAGCACCACAATATCGTCAACCTGTAGGTCATTTCGAGGCAGTTTCCACTTTGTTCGCCTTTGAAGCTCCTTGAGATATTCGGACTTCCATCGTCTGCAGAACTCCTGGGCAATCAATTTCAACCGTCGCCAACGGTTCAAAAGAGAAGTTTTATTTTCTACCTCGTCGGGTTCAGCTGGCGCTAGTAATGGTCCACCGATGAGGAAGTGACCTGGAGTAAGGGCGCTGATATCATCGATGCTATCTGTCAGGGGAGTAAGAGGCCTGGAGTTTAGGCACGATTCGATGTGAGCAAGGATAGTGGATAATTCTTCGAATGTATGACGAATTTGTCCCGAGATTTTCTTCAGGTGACTCTTGCAGCTTTTAACCCCCGCCTCCCACAGCCCACCCATATGTGGAGCTGCGGCGGGGTTAAAATGCCACTCCAATTTCTGGAAGCCGTAACGAGTAAGGGAGTCGTCCTTCGCCTCTGCGACAATCTTCATCAAATTAGAACGAATTTCACGGTCTGCACCCACGAAATTCTTACCGTTGTCCGAGTAAATATGACGAGGGCATCCACGCCGGGCAACGAATCGGGACAGAGCGGCAATAAAGGCAGGGGTGGAGAGATCACTGACAGGTTCTAAGTGTATCGCCTTGGTGGCGAAGCACACAAACAAGCAAATGTAACCCTTGGAAATGCGGCAACCTCTGCCACTAAAGTTCTTAATTTCAATAGGGCCAGCGAAATCGACCCCTGATGTGGAAAACGGCCGGGTAAAGGTAGTCCTCTCGGGAGGAAGAGCAGCCATCAGCTGCGTTTGTCGTTTCTTCTGAGCCAGAACGCACTTCGTGCAATGTCGATAGTGGGTTTTTACTAAGTTTCGGCCTCGTATGATCCAACATTCGAGGCGCGTTGTAGCCAGAGTCAGCTGAATGCCACCATGGTTGGTCATACGGTGAACATGATCCACGTACAGTGCAGCAAATCTGCTCTTTGGGGCAAGAATAATCGGGTACCGTTCATCGTACGGTAGAGAAAGGGTAGAACTCAAACGTCCATTAGCTCGAATAAGACCATCTTTGTCGAGAAAGGGATTTAGCGACAAAAGAGGGCTACCAGAATCAAGTTTTCGATTTTTATGGAGGCAATCATACTCCGAAGGAAAGTAGATTCTTTGAGAAAGAGACATCAAACGGCGACGAGCAAAGCCAATTTCATCTGCGGTTAATTTAATGCTATCAAAACAAACGGTTTTCTTGGTTTTTGGATGTGTCCTTTGGACAAACCGAAATATGTACGCTATGACATGAGTTGCAGTGGAGAGACGAGAAAACCTTTCCAATATATCTTCTTCTACGGCAGATCGAGCAAGATGAACTTTTACAGGTTTAGCTTCAAGGGTTGTTTCGGATATAACCGCGCCTGAGGGCCATTCACTTCTCGGCGATTTGAGCCAGCTTGGTCCATGCCACCATAAACCACACTCCTTTAGCTCTAAAGGAGTCCGCCCCCGGGTTGCTAAATCTGCCGGATTCTCATCTGTAGGGACATGATACCAGTCGCTCCCTACCTTCTCCTGAATAATAGACACCCTATTTGCCACAAACGTCGTCCAAGAGTAAGATGGTTTCTTGAGCCAAGACAAAACGATAGTCGAATCCGACCAAGCGAACAAAGAGGCTTTTGGAATATCCAACTGAGGCAGAACGGAATCGACTAGCTCGGCTAAGAGAAAGGCCCCACAGAGTTCCAACCGTGGCAAGGACAATTTCTTCAACGGCGCCACTTTGGACTTCGCAACGAGCAAATTCGTATAGACATCAGTACCAACTTCAACTCTCAAATATAACGCAGCAGCGTAAGCCGATTCTGACGAGTCACAGAAACCATGCAATTCAATATTGCAATTTGGAGAGTAATTTACCCAGCGAGGTATTCTAATCTCTTCGATTCCTGACGAAGTAGAGACAAAATTCTTCCAGTTTATCAGAGTAAGAGGCTTTAATGGATCGTCCCATCCAATCTCATCTAGCCATAACTGTTGCATCAGAATTTTCGCAGTTATTACAATCGGCGCGAGCCAGCCCAGAGGGTCAAAAATCTTCGCTATAATGGACAACACTTGTCGCTTCGTGTAAGAACTTCTTTCTTGAATTGTATCTATAACGAAGTAGAAACTATCTGATGAGGCATTCCATCGAATACCTAATGTCTTCGCAGAACTCTTGTCACCCAGATCAAGAAAATCTTCATTTAACAGATGCTCACGAGCAAGACCATCCAAAATTTCTCTAGAATTAGACGTCCACTTCCGGAGACCAAACCCGGCTGATGAAAGAATTTTTATCAATTCTTCTCTCGCTCTTAAACCTTCTGAGACAGTATGCACCCCTACCAACGCATCATCTACATACATATTGTTTCGTAGAATTTTGGAACCAATGGGAAAGCGATGCTCCTCGTCATCAGCCAGTTGCAACAGCGTCCTAAGAGCCAAGTAAGGAGCGCAATTGACGCCAAATGTTACTGTCTTTAACTGGTAATCAGAAACTTCCTCTTCCGGGCAAGATCGAAATAGAATGCGCTGATATTTGGAATGCAATGGGTTAATCCAAATTTGGCGATACATTTTAGAAATGTCCGCATTAAATACATATTTGTATAAGCGCCAATTCAAAACGAGCGAAACTATGTCCTTTTGAAGCGAAGGGCCAACATACAACTCGTCGTTTAAGCTTTTGCCGTCTACCGAGGGACACGAAGCGTTAAAGACTACTCTCAACTTCGTCGTTACGCTTTCGGGCTTAAATACGCCATGATGGGGCAAGTAAAAACAATTTTGATAGTTGACAAACCCTTCTACTTTCTCCATATGACCCAGAGACAAATATTCAAGAATAACTTTGTCATAATCCGATTTTCGATTCGGATCTCTCATTAGCGATGTCTCATTCCGCAAAAATTGAGTCAGAGCAATATATCGGCTTGATTTTGACGCCAAAGAGAAAGGGTAATCGACTTTAAAGGGCAAGTTTACCGTATATCTCCCATCGGAGCCTCTGGTCGTCGTAGTTCGATAAATATCCTCGCATTTTTGGTCATCTACAGATACAATCGGAACTTTGGGAATCTCCTCAATTTCCCAGAACTTCGAAAGTTCGTCTTGCACTGATACTCTAGTGCAATGCGAGATGCTAAGTGACTTCAGATGGACTAAATCAGTTGTCGGACCGGTTAATATCCACCCAAATACGGTCTCTTGAGCCAAAAGCGAGCCAAGTACGTTTTTCCTTACTCCGTTGAGCAAGATAACAGGGTAAACGTTCCCACCGAGCAAGATGTCTACTGGACTACTTTGATAAAATTTTGGATCCGCAAAATCTAGATCCGGAAGTTCTTCAATTCGAATTTTGCCCAAGGGATGTGTGGGAATATCCCCCGTGATTTCAGGGACCACAAATGCCTCAAGGTCCAACGAGAAAGACCTATTTTTCATCGATCCAATTCTGACGGATGCTATCTTAGAACATTTAGTCAAATGTTCACCGCCCAAACCGGAAATGTCCGCAGACACCGAACTTGTGGGCAACCTAAGCATCTTCTGCACCCGAGCGGAAATAAAAGTGTCGTCCGAGCAAGGATCTATTAGCGCACGTACTTTATATGGAACACCATCCTTCAAAATATTTACCCAAGCCGTGGCAAGCATCGTTCTACTTGTGACCGAGGTATGAAATGCGCGAGTATTCGAAGAAGTAATCGGACCAGCCGATGTACTCGGAGTCACAGCCAACGACGTAGACAAATCTGTAGAAGCATTCGCATTAGAGCTATTATCTTGGGCAATCGTATTTTTATGAAGGAGGTTATGATGCTTTAATTTGCATTTTGAGCAAGCAGGAGCCATACAGTCCACCGCTTTATGACCCAACGCCATACAATTGAGGCAACGATTTTCTCTCTTAATAATATTTAATCTTTTCCTGAAATCCATACTAAGGAACTTCGGGCAAGATTTTAAGGGGTGTGTCCCTTTGCACACACTGCATTTGTTCTCATTTACCTTAGTATGATGGACTCTAAACTGTCTCAATTTTTCATATTGATTGTGCTTTGGGCGAGAACCTTGTCCTACTTGTACCCCATTCGAACAAGTTATATCTGACACACTTTCCAATGCTTTAAATCTCTCCGTGAGAAATTTATTCAAGTCATCCCAGTGAGGCATTTCTGTCTTATTATGCAAAGACTGCTCCCATAGAGAAAGAGTAAGTTTCGGCATTTTCGTAGAGCACAGATAGACAAATATAGGGTCCCATGACTTCACATCAATTTTATATAACTCAAGGACCGCTATGCAATTAGTAACGTCTCGTTGCAGTTTCTTTAGGCCACATGCCGATTCTTGCCCACAATGAGCAAGATTAAATAAATTCCGCAGCTGAGTATTTACTAGAATTCTCTTATTTTCATATTGGTTCCTCAAATTGTCCCAAGCAATAGAGAAACCTTCGGCTGTCAACGGAATATGGCGATTTATTTCTCTTGCCTCTCCACTTGTTTTTTGGAATAAGTGGTACAGCTTTTCAACGGGGCTTAATTTTTTGTTATTGATAAAAATCGCCGTGAATAAGTCACGAAAACTGGGCCAGGAAACATAATCCCCTTGGAACACTTCCATATCACACGGCGGGACTGCTACAGAGGAAGAAACTCTTTGTGTAACGGGAAACACTTTTGCTTTTTCCTTCCATTCCCCCAAAATATTAACACATCTAACGTAACTTTGGTGGGCAAGTTTTTTATTTGTTTTTATAACCTCCTTATTTTTCTTATTACACTCAGCATCGGAGGTACACGCTTTCAGGGTTTCCTTCCATTCTGCCCATAAACTGCTGAGCTCTGACTTCTCAACTTCAACGGCAGACTCATTAAACCCTGACGCATCCGTCTCTTTTAAATTTTCTTCAAAGGAAATAATTTCCTCAGACTTATTTAAAAAGTCTTCAATACTGGCCATTTTCTTCGAGAAAGCTTAATCCCAAATGTTCAAATTTAATTGTAGAAATTATCGAACGTTACGCAAAGCGAAATATTGTTGTTAAAAAACCGAGCAAGAATCCAAGGGATAGTTACGTCCAACAAAGAGGAATATATTTATTGCAAAAATGAGCAAGAATCCCAGCGCAAATTATAATTCATATAGAGCAAGATATTTATTCAAAGTATTCAAATATTCCGTTGTAACTTTAGTTGCGACAAAAATGTCTCCAAAAACAACAACCCAGAATAAGCACTTTTCGAATAGTACTGTATTAAGTTATCCAAATGGTATGTATGCGCGAACAAGTTTAATTTTCTACGTGTTCCAAAAAATTCTCTTAGTCTCCAAATGAGCAAGTAATTTTACTTTTGTTAATGCCAACAAATCCACGAAAAATTTTCAATCATCAACGAAAAAGATTTTTTACCCAAAAAATGTACTTTTGTTTCGATATTTCAAACGAGAAAGTTCTTTAATGAAATAGCCATAAGCGTTTCAAATGGTATTCCAATTACCAACTTATTTTTCACAGTAGCATCTAAATGGTATACATTTTTATATATAAGCAAGTCACTTTTTCAATTTCTCATTTCTGACCCACTGTGTCAAATACAAAAAGGGCAAAATTCATCCACAATAACAAAATTGTGTTCTTTATGTTTTTATTGTGCAAGGTAATTTTAACAATTAACCTTCACTTATTCCATTCACGACATTCAATTTCGCCAAAATCTCATAGATTCCATTAAACGTCGTTGTCCAAATTTATATACAGCTAAGCTTTACTTTTCCTTTTGTTTATATTTGCCTTGTATGCTTGTAATTATCTCCTAATGAGAATTATAATTCAGCACTCAACAACGAGAAAAAATTCGAGCAAGCAAATCCACCAAAGGGCAAGACCAAAACAAAATAATCGATGAATGTTAATAAATAGACGATAGCAATACGAACGCTCATACAACGAGAAAGTATAAATCATGCAAACAGAGTCAGCGTAACCGCAGTAGACAAACACACAAAAAAACCCAAGCAGAGCAAGAGCGACGTATAAACAACTGTGGCGACGCAAACGCCCAGGCAGAGCTACCACGCACAAGCAGCGACTCTCCAAAATATGTCAACAGTGGCTGCGCAAATGCATATAAGCAGAGCCAACAACGCACAAGCAGCAAATCACCAACAGCCTAGCAAAGGGCAAGCATTCACATATAAACAAAGCGCCACCAAATGTGCGTATGTCGATATGTCACGCTAATGAGTCTGACGGACGAACAACTTTTGTCTGTCTAACAGCAACACACAGACAAAGACTCAGCGCCACAAAAAAACAGCAAGCCACCAAATGTGTAAATGGATGAAGGGCAAACAATACAAAAAAATGCCGGTTCGCTACAACAACACCATCCAGCGAAAGACGAATGTAAAGGGCAAGGCTTGATAAATACTCCAACGGTATCCAGTTAAAAAAAATAACTTAGAATACTTTGGAATTTGTTTGTCACAATTATGCAACAGGTAACCTCAATTTCTTTACAAAGAAAGTCCACGAATTTAGGGCCAATATACGTTTGTCTCCAAATGACAAATTATCGTGAAAAACATGCGTGGTACTTACTTTGACCAATGGATACCCTATTTCTTGCTCTTGATTTTGTTCCCGGTTGAGAAGGACCAGATGCTGGGGTGCTTACTTTTATTATTTTTTCCAAATTGCCGGTTGAGAAGGACCAGATGTTGACGGGACAACTTTGCTACAGTCGGTCACCACGGAGTCAGTTTCCCTGATCGACTGGTTCCACTTACACTTTGGCAGGACGCGCTTTGATGGTGCAGCACGGTGACGATGTCTTCCCCTTTGGGCAAGGTTCTGTTTCAGCACACACTGTTGATGAAGGCAGTGAACGTTCCACTGTTCGGGCAAGGGCAAATGGCACGCAATATTTGTAATATGATTATTTCTCAATACGGTCTGCTACCACTGTGTCGATCGTTGCTTTACAATAAAACGCACAATAATTTTTACTTCACTTTTATTGTTTTGCACAATTCTGGGCACAATTTTATTTTAACGACCTTCTTGGTCAAAGGCAAAAAAACGACAACGATAAAAAACTTCGAAAACTAATAGAAGATGATGGTTCTTCTTCTTCTCATCGAACCCTTGTTCTTACTCCGAGAGCAAGAGAGCAGGAAAATATTGATCAAAGCAGAACCAGTGATATGGCATTGCCAGTATAGAAAAAAGGGAGAGACGACGTACATGGGAATTGCCTTCGAGGGCGAACATTAGTGCTGCGCTTGTAGCGCTTTTCCCATGAACACTCTAAATGAAGCAATACTTAGCAATAAGTCAGCGGAATGGGAAAAGGCTATGCAGATTGAATATAATTCGTTGAAGAAAAACCGAACATGGGAATTAGTTGATTTGCCAACTGGTAAAAATGCGATTGGATGCAAATGGGTTTATGCCATAAAAACTGCAAAAAATGGTGATATAGAGCGATACAAAGCAAGGCTCGTGGCAAAGGGCTGCAGCCAGAAATATGGTGTTAACTATCATGAAACATTCTCACCAGTCATACGTTATGCTAACATAAGACTTGTATTCGCAATAGCTGTTAACAAAGGTATGCATATACACCATATTGATGTTGTTAGTGCTTATTTGAATGGTGATCTCAACGAGGAGGTCTACATGCAGCAACCAAAGATGTTCGTTGATAAAACGCATCCAAATAAAGTACTACGGTTAAAAAAATCATTATACGGTCTTAAGCAATCTGGTCGTGAGTGGAATGCAAAGTTAGACTCATGTGTAAAAATGATTGGATTTACAAGTTGTCATAATGAACCATGCTTGTACAAAATGAAAGTAGAAGGCGAACTTGTTTTATTAGCAGTATATGTTGACGACATCCTTATTGCAAGTAAAGATAAAGCTGTTATACAAAAAATAAAATTTGAAATATCAACGGAGTTTGATGTTAGTGACAAAGGCCCTATACAACATTTTCTTGGAATGGAAATCAACAGAGATGGTGAAACAGGTGATTTTACAGTGAGTAACACTCAATATATAAACACCTTATTGAAAAAGCATAACATGGAACAGTGTAAGGAAGTATCTGTACCACTTGATCCTGGTTTCCAAGTCGGTTGTTCAAATGGTTGTGGAAAAGCAGATGTGCTGTCATATCAGTCAATAATGGGGGAACTTATGTATTTAGCACTTACAACCCGACCGGACATATTACATTCAGTGGCAAAATTATCGCAGAGAAATGCCGATCCACATACAGAACATATGAATGCCGCTAAACATATTTTAAGGTATTTATCCGGAACTACTCAGCTAAAACTTATATACCGAAGAAGTGAATCAGAATTGACTGGATATGCAGATGCTGATTGGGGCGGAAATTCTGTAGATAGAAAATCATATAGTGGTTTTATGTTCTACTATGGAAAATGCTTGATTTCATGGGAATCTAAAAAACAAAGCGTGGTCGCATTGAGTAGTACTGAAGCGGAGTATATCTCATTGTCAAATGCTGCAAAGGAAGCAATTTATTTGAAAAGACTGCTAATTGAACTTGAGGCCATTGATGATGTTCCAGTGGTATTGAGTGTTGACAACCAGGGAGCTCTTAAACTGGCGTCGAATGCTATATTTCATAATAGAAGTAAACACATAGACATCAAGTACCATCATATACGAGAACTCATTTACGAAAAGCAAATCAATCTCAAGTATCTTAGAACAGACAACATGATAGCTGATATTTTTACAAAAAATCTACAAAAGATTAAACATTGGAAATTTGTCGATCTTATGAACATGAATTAATTAAGTTGTTTAGTATTAGGTTTAAGAAGGAGTATTGGAAATACTACTTTCCACAATATTATAAACCTGATACAAAACATACTTTGTATTTATATTATTGTTATTATCATAGTTGTTTGGAGTTTTTTTGTATTGTTATTGAAAAATATATTTTTCGGTTTAGTTTGTGTGCTGAATAAAACTTTGATTCGTTTGGAAACTTTTTCTTGTTTCTAATTAATTTTCTAACAGGTTTAAGCTTGAAAAAATATTTTTTAAACATTTTAAGCCTCTGTTGATGATTGAAAAACTATTTTTTAAAAATCCACGTTTTGGTTGATGCTTGAAAAAATATTTTTTAAAAAATCCACGCCTTGGTTTAAGCTTGAAAAAATATTTTTTAAACATTTTAAGCCTCTGTTGATGATTGAAAAACTATTTTTTAAAAATCCACGTTTTGGTTGATGCTTGAAAAAATATTTTTTAAAAAATCCACGCCTTGGTTTAAGCTTGAAAAAATATTTTTTAAACATTTTAAGCCTCTGTTGATGATTGAAAAACTATTTTTTAAAAATCCACGTTTTGGTTGATGCTTGAAAAAATATTTTTTAAAAAATCCACGCCTTGGTTTAAGCTTGAAAAAATATTTTTTAAACATTTTAAGCCTCTGTTGATGATTGAAAAACTATTTTTTAAAAATCCACGTTTTGGTTGATGCTTGAAAAAATATTTTTTAAAAAATCCACGCCTTGGTTTAAGCTTGAAAAAATATTTTTTAAACATTTTAAGCCTCTGTTGATGATTGAAAAACTATTTTTTAAAAATCCACGTTTTGGTTATTGCTTGAAAAAATATTTTTTAAAAAATCCACGCCTTGGTTTAAGCTTGAAAAAATATTTTTTAAACATTTTAAGCCTCTGTTGATGATTGGAAAACTATATTTTAAAAATCCACGTTTCGGTTGATGCTTGAAAAGATATTTTTTAAAAAATCCACGCCTTGGTTTAAGCTTGAAAAAATATTTTTTAAAAATTTTAAGCCTCTGTTGATGCTTGAAAAAATATTTTTTAAAAATGTTAAGCCTCTGTTGATGCTTGAAAAATATGTTTTTAAAAAAATTCACGCTTAAAAAAATATTCTTTAAAAAATCGACGCCTCTGTTGATGTTTAAAAAAATATTCTTTAAAAGATCAACGACTCTGTTGAAGCTTGAAAAAAATATTTTTAAAAAAATCCACTCCAATGTTGATGCTTGAAAAAATATTTTTTAAAAAATCCACACCTTTGGATGGTCTTTGAAAAAAAAAAAATATTTTTTAAAAAATCCACCCCTCTTTCATTCCTGAATTCATATTCTTTTAAATGGTGTTCAGTTTTTTGTCTACCATGTCCTCAAGTAGGAACCTATGATCCTCTTTTCGTGAAACTTTACGGATGATTAAAGCGCAAGTTTCCATGTGGTTCCTGTTGTATCCCCAACTGAGTGTATATGTGTTTGTGCATGTTTATGGTTGATTTAATGCTATTAAGAGATTATTTTTATGACATTAAAGATTTATGTAGTTTTTTTTTTCGGGGTCTGTATGTGGGATGTAGTCAATCCTAGCTACTACTACAGGAATAACTTATTCTGGCTAATGTCGTTGTTCTTGTTGTGGTTCAGGGTCTTGGGTCAGTCAATACCATTATTAGTGCATGAATAAATGAAAGGAAGATGAGTAATTGCTTTATTGGTACGATATGTTCCACACAACAACAAAAACAGAAAAAAAAAACATTCCCAAAATAATAAAGTTCGTGGCAAAGGAACTCAGCCAAAAAAAGGACCTATGTCATTCACTTGATTTTTATTATTGATACACCAACGAAGTTTACACACACACACACTCGTCCATACTTTTTAACAGAACTTATTCGTTTCAATAAAACTTTGCTGTTCACAACAGCTCAAATGTAGCATAAAAGTATTTTGTTGTTCGATTCTGACCAGGACGTGGGAAGGTAGGTAGGGATTTAACTTAATAGTTAATGGTTTGTGACTGTTCGGCGGTCAAGTTCAATTTTACTTTGTGTGGTGTAGAAAAAAAAATGTATTTTTTTAATCCTCTTGTGGTGGTCAATTGTCCTTAAAAATATACTGTTTGGAAAATCCACATTGTTTAGTGTGAAGGCCCTTGAATATATGTCGTTAAAAATCCACGCCTCGTATAATCCTTGAAAAAATATTCCTTCAAAAATCCACGCCTCGTATGATCCTTAAAAAAATATTCCTTCAAAAATCCACGCCTCGTATAATCCTTGAAAAAATATTCCTTCAAAAATCCACGCCTCGTATAATCCTTGAAAAAATATTTTTTAGAAAATCCACATCTTGTATAATCTTAGAAAAAATATTTTTTAGAAAATCCACGCTTGGTGGTCCTTTAAAAACTATTCATTAAAAAATCCACGTTCATAGATGGTCCTTGAAAAATATTCTTTAAAAATTAAAATTTATTAATGGTCCTTGAAAAAATATTCTTTAAAAAATCCACGCCTATGGTGGTCCTTGAAAAAATATTCTTTAAAAATCCACGTCTCTGATAGTCCTTGAAAAAATATTCTTTAAAAAATCCACGTCTCTAATAGTCCTTGAAAAAATATTCTTTAAAAAATCCACGTCTCCAATAGTCCTTGAAAAAATTTTCTTTAAAAAATCCACGTCTCCAATAGTCCTTGAAAAAATATTCTTTAAAAAATCCACGTTTCAAATAGTCCTTAAAAAATATTCTTTAAAAATCCACGTTTCACATAGTCCTTAAAAATCCACGTTTCAAATAGTCCTTAAAAAATATTCTTTAAAAAATCCACGCCTTAAATGGTCTTTGAAAAAATAGTCTTTAAAAAACCAACGTCTCTGATAGTTCTTGAAAAAAATATTCTTTAAAAAATCCACTCCTTTGGATGGTCCTTGAAAAAATATTCTTTAAAAAATCCACTTCTTTGGATGGTTATTGAAAAAATATTCCTTAAAAATTCCATTCCTTTGGATGGTCCTTGAAAAGATATTTTTTAAAAAATCCATTTCTTTGGATGATCATTGAAAAAATATTCCTTAAAAAATCCACTCCTTTGGATGGTCCTTGAAAAATATTCTTTAAAAAATGCAGGTCTTGAATGGTCCTTGAAAAAAAATTCTTTAAAAAATCCACGCCTTTGTATGGTCCTTGAAAAAATATTCTTTAAAAAATCCACGACTTGAATGGTCCTTGAAAAATATTCTTTAAAAAATTCAGGTCTTGAATGGTCCTTGAAAAAAAATTCTTTAAAAAATCCACGCCTTAAATGGTCCTTGAAAAAATATTCTTAAAAAAATTCAGGTCTTGAATGGTCCTTGAAAAAATATTCTTTAAAAAAGCCTCGCCTTGAATGGTCCTTGAAAAAATATTCTTTAAAAAATTCAGGTCTTGGTGGATGATCCTTGAAAAAATATTTTTTAAAAAA